AGGGAGGCAGAGGCAGGTGGATCTCTGTGAGTTCAAGGCCAGCCTGGTCTACGTAGTGAGTTCCAGGACAGCTGGGGCTTACAGGGAGACCCTGCTTCAAAAAGACCAAAAAAAAAAAAAAAAAGTTACCAGGGAGGATCCTAAACCTAGTCTTACCAAACTTTTAAGAACAAAGTTTGAGGTTTTATGATTAACTGTGAAACCTTGGTAGTAGCCAGCCCCTGGGAAGTCTTTTGAGCCTGCCTTTCTAGAATAGTACTTGGGACTTCTTGTATTTCTCCAACAAAGATTTGTGCAATGATGTATTTTATTAATCAACACATCATTCTGAAAAGAGATGTGTAGAGAACTAACAACTGAGCACAGGCTTGTTGAAGGTGCAGTTAGTTCCTTGGTAGGCTCAATAGAATAATCTTAGGCCTGAATTAATGATCTTGTTTTTAGTGGTTATTTTTTGTTCATGAGTTGTTTTTCTGTTCAAACACATGAGTGTGAGAAAGTTATCCCAGAGTAATAGTCCAGGGACTTGTTCAGGAGGAGGATGGATGCATTGATGTTAAATTCTCTTAAGATGCTGTTCTAATAGGACTTTTTCTTAGCCCCAATTACAGGATAAACTACGCTCCATTTCAGCAATAGTATTATTACTGTATCTTTTCAAATTGATTTTCAATTAATAATGTAGAATACAGTGTAGACTTTTATTTAAGTCTCCTTGCCTTGTACCATTTCAAACGATTTAATTAATGTATTCTGTGGAAAGCCAGATAATTGAAGCAAATTCTTGGATTTAAACACACAAAGAATAAGAAATTCTTATCAAAACATTGCCAAAAATTTGGCATTCTTGGGTCTGAATCACCCTTAAGATTTGGCTCATCCTGTCTCACCCCAGCAGTTGCCTTGAATGTTGGTAACAGGTTCTTTCTCCTTGATGCTCAGGTTCAGCAGACTGTGCAAGATCTTTTTGGCAGAGCCCCAAGTAAGGCTGTCAATCCCGATGAGGCTGTAGCAATTGGAGCCGCCATTCAGGGAGGTGTGTTGGCTGGTGATGTCACAGATGTGCTGCTCCTGGATGTCACTCCCCTGTCTCTGGGTATTGAGACTCTGGGAGGTGTCTTTACCAAACTCATTAATAGGAATACTACTATTCCAACCAAAAAGAGCCAGGTAAGAGCAGTCCTTCCCCCTGACTCCTAACAGAAGTATTAAGTGATGTGCTTGCTTTTTCTTTAAAACCGTGTTATTTTCAAATCCAGACTAGCTGATTGTGGGTGGTTAGACTTGTTTCCTTTGTTGTTCCTGGAAAAGTTATTACATGTCAAGTAGCAGTGATGATTGTAAGGAAGAATTTGATTTCTGGGTGAATGTTAGGGCTGGATTGTATAGTACTAAGGTACCAGGGATATATGGGTGTGGCATGGTCTTGAATTAGAATTATTTCTTGGACTGGAGAGATAGTTCACTGGTTAAGAGCACTGACTGCTTTGACAGAGGACCCTGGTCAGTTCAGGACCTACATGGGGGCTAATTTCTATATATCTCTCCAGTTCCAGGGAATCTGATGCCTTTTTCTGGCCTCTGGGCATTGCACACACAAGTGCGTTATCATACCCATGCAGACAAAAACACATAAATATCATCCACAAAATTCTTGTGACTGGAAATGGTGGTGTGTGCCTGTAATTCCAGCTTTTGAGAGGCAGGAGCATCAACAGACTGGACTAGGTAGTGAGACCATGTCTCCAAAAAATTTTTATTCTCAAACTTTCTCAGTCTTAAGTATTTCTAGAAAACTATAGCTTTTTGTATTTGTGCAGTGATGTATTTGTCAACATGCTGTTCTGAAGGAAAATATGTGGTGACTTATTAGGACTCAGCACATAATCGATTCCCAGTTTCTGGTTCTTATTGCCACCAGACTGGCAGCTTTCAACATTTTAGATCTTGTTTTAATGCCTTTTGGACTAAAAATTTATTTTTGTACAGCGTATTTGCTACTAATCATAATCTTGCTCCTTATAAGACATAAGCCTTTGTTCTGAGAGCAGTGTACATTAGGAACCAGTATTAGAATATGAATTGATTTCTCTAGTTAGCCTTTGTACTATATAAGGGAATAGTTTAGAATGCCAACTTGAAGTGTTCTTTCTTCCTAGGTGTTTTCTACAGCTGCTGATGGACAGACTCAAGTAGAAATTAAAGTGTGTCAAGGTGAGAGAGAGATGGCTGGAGACAACAAACTTCTTGGACAGTTTACTTTGGTAAGTATTATGAGTCTGAATATTGTGCTTGGTTCTGTTACTGTTGTAGAGTTGATAGTATTTCAACCTTTATAAACTGCTGGCATATAGATAGTGTTATTTTTTGAAAAGAGGTTTTGTAGATTGATTTCACAACCCATGATTTCAATTTTTACCTGAAAACCTTACTAATTAATGCTTTATGCCTTGGGAACTAAGTTTATAAACGCCAGGGAAATGTTTAGAAATCATGTTAAATCAATTACTTGTCCTGATTGCTCATTTCAAAGACATCTGATAACTAGCTATTGGTTCTTGTCAGCATTGCTATAGTAGAGAGGTTTCCTTTTAACTAATTCTATCCTCCAAGTACATACAGCCATTATGGTTATTTGCTCTAGCTAACCTTGGTAGAAGCCCTGTTGATTTCACAAAGCACTGGAACTGCTACAACTTGTAAACTTGGTTTTATACATTAAGTGAAGATACCTACTTGTTTCATGAAGCAAGTGGTTTACCCTGTTTGAAAATGATAGCATTACATCTCTCTGAAAGGAGCTCATTCTGGGTGTTTATTTTAGATTGGGATTCCCCCAGCCCCTCGTGGAGTCCCTCAGATTGAAGTTACATTTGACATTGATGCAAATGGAATCGTGCATGTTTCTGCCAAAGATAAAGGCACAGGACGTGAACAGCAGAGTAAGTCTTCCTTTTTCAAACTGTAAGGGTGAGGTGAGAAGCTGGGGGCTTAGATTAGTAGGGTGCTTTGTTATTGATGCCCTGGGTTTAGTCACCTACACCCTGTCCCAACCAATTTTTTAAAAAGGTGAAGTGGACACATTCTCCCTTTGTTTACCTTTTCTCCCCCATCCTGCAAGGAGGTTGCTGAGAAACTTCCCCTTTTCAGGTAATAGAGAGTGAAGTCTTACATTTATGAGCAGGAGCAAAACAGGTTTGCTGGAGTTTTGAATAGGCAGTCTTTGATTCTTTTTGCTCATTCTAAGGCAGTAAGGATTATTTTCATAATTTGTTTCATTCAATTACAATTAATATTATTTCTTAAGGTAGTAAACAAAGAGAACTAAAGAGATGCCTTTTTTACTACAGTTGTAATCCAGTCTTCTGGTGGATTAAGCAAAGATGATATTGAAAATATGGTTAAAAATGCAGAGAAGTATGCTGAGGAGGACCGGAGAAAGAAGGTAATTACTGTTGCTTCTGAGCTTGTGGTAAAATTGCTGGGACATGAAAGTAGAGTTTGGGCATGTTGCTGATCTTATGTTTTCTCACTTCCCACCTCTTAATCTGTCATTCTTTTTCCTTGACTTACAGATTATGTAGAATGTCTTTGCTGTTGTGTAATGCACAGGTTACTCTATTGTACAGGATGGCCTTGAATGCTTGACTTAAACAACTCCATGTCTCAGCCTCCTTAGTAGCTGGGATTAAGAACACATACTGTCGTCATACTGGATCTGGAATGTTTTTCTTCCCAAGTAGCTGAGAGGGCGGTGATTTTTCTTTTTTTTCCCTCCCCTTCCTCCTTTTTGGGGGTGAGGGGCTTGAGACAGGGTTTTCCTGTAGCCCCAGATAGCCTGGAACTCACTATATGTTGACCAGGCTGACCTTGAGCTCACAGAGGTCTGCTGCCTCTGCCTCTTGAGTGCTAGAAACACAGCCATGTGCCAGATACCTAGTA